CAAAAGTCAACTATCCTTGAAACTCCAATTTTTGACAAAAGGGCCCACTTTCTTCCACTTGATTCATCCTTGTCATGCCACACACGTGTCCCATGATTAATTTCAAGATCAAACATTGATTTTTCTATTTTATTTAATTTTTGATAATTTAATTCATTTTAAATCTTTAAAAATTCAAATAAAATTCAAAAACCAATGGAATAGTGTCATTTGAATTTGGACAACTTCCATATATCATGGGCCAACTCAAAAACTCAGGCTAGGGTTAAATTGCACACTAAGTCTTGGTCTTGGCTTAAAAGAAGGAAAAGTTTGTTAATGAAAAAACCCTAGGACTAGTTCTCTCATGAGCATGAATCAAGGTCAAATAACAAGCTAATTCTCTTCCCTCATAAGTGCCAAGTCAAACCCTAAGCCTTGCACACTAAAAAGCTGCGCCCAAAAAAGCTATTGCACATTGAAAATTTTCCATAAAAGCACAATTCTGAAATCAAGGTTCTAGGTTTTTTTAAGCTCTAATTCTTATACCAAAAGCTTGCTCGTGGACTCCTGATCCTATCCCAACTCCAAACATCCTTCAAAACTCCAGGAATTGGTAGGGAGAACTCAAACTGTGCCACATAACTTTTGAAATCGCATATCACAATTCATACGTCCTTTTGCATTTTTATTGATGAATTCTTGTTCCTTATGAAGTTCTAAAGCTGACCATGGTATTTAATTGAATAATCATGCATCGTATGCGATTTTGCCATAATCAATTTCTAGGGTTGCAGGTTTCTTAAATTAGGGGTTTTCAGACCAAGAACAATTAGGCCATCACAATACCACCATTGCAATCAGCGCCTAGAGACGAAAAAATCCCAACTATCGCGCCTAATTTATATTTGGAACTGAGCTATTCGCTATTTTTTTATAGCTCACCTAACGCAACGCTCAGAAAACCGTGGCTGAAGGGTCTTGTTTCAGAAAAATGGGGAAGACGACTCCGTGTCAAAACGTGATAGGCGCGTTTGAAAATTCGCGCCAGGTCATCCACTAACACCATGTTTTATTTATTATATTTATCTGATATTATATGTTAAAGTAAAAGCGTTTGGTTCAGTGGTGCACGTGGAGGTTTGCAATGTGAATGACCTGGGTTCGATCCCAGGTCTTCATCCTTTCCCTTTATATTTTTTCAATTAATAATCATACGCAGGCGAGGTGGTGTTGTTCCATGGTACACCTCATGATCCAAGCAGCCACGCGTCCTGGCAGGCCCATCAAAGGGGCTCAGATCAAAGAGTATGCTGTGCCCGAGTCAATGCGTTGATACACAAGCCAAAAAGTCAACAAATTCAAGGTTAATTGGGCCAGAACTCTAAGGCCTGTACCTCCTAAATTGGGACTACACCCCACTCTGGTTTGCAATTTCTTTCAATTTTTTTTACTAATTTTTATTTTATTAAATCATTATGTTATTTATTTTATTGCTTTAATTTAATTAAATATTTTTCACAATACATAAAAAATACAGAAAAATCAGAAAAGGCCAAAAAATATAATTTTTATTTTAATTACTTTTATAAATAAATTACACGTAATTATTTAGTTTAATTAGGTTTTTAACTTTAATTCCTTTTTAATAAAAATCCAAAAATATAGAAATAGGTTAGTTAATAATTTTTATACCTTTTAATTTTCCCTTTTTTATCACAATATTATTTATTTATTTATTTTATTTTTATGATTAAATGTACATAAGCAAAAATTAGGGTTTAATTTAGATTAATATAACATTTTTACAATAAACTTAAAAAACAATAGAATTAGGGTTAATCAATTATAATTAATTCCTTCTTTTTCTTTTTCTTTTAAATCTTAAAAAACACAAAATACCAAAAACATTTAATACTTTCATTTTAATTCCTCATTAATTTGATATTTTGTAAAAGGGTCCAACGCCCGTCGCTTTAATTATTTTGTTTCGCGCATTTTACTTCGTCGTTTATTATAATTATGTACATGTCCCAAAGCCTTGTAACAATTTTATTTCTTGCACTTTTATTCGCTTTATTTATTTTCAGTCAAATCGGGTTCAGTTTAATTTTGGCGATGTGGACCCGCGCCATTTGTAATAGCCTTAGATTTATTTCCCGCAAACTTTATAACTGTTAAATATGCATGCAAGAATGAATGGCCCTAATTAAAATCAAGCGTAGAACACAAATAAACATGACAAGACAAAAAACTGAAACATGACACACAATTCGCACACACCACCCCTAGGGTACGCCTCACTGTTGCCTTTCGAAAGGTGATCGTCGAGTAGAGGACGTCTTAGTAAGTCCTCATGATCCGGGAACCTGGCATGAGGGTAGCTTCTAAGGTGTCTTCCCATTGCTCTGGTGATCACCACGTCCCTAAAACTCGAATTGACCCGAACACCTCCAACAGTGGTGCTACCTACCTCTCAATGGTGGGATGGCATTACTTTAAAGGACATTTACACAGACGAATTCCTTAGGGTAGGTAGGTTCTCAAGGATACTTGCTCTAATTTCAAACAAATCAAAATACTTTTCACACCAACACATTTTCAAAAGCTTTCAAAACCAATTTTTCAAACACTCTGACGTACGAGTCGAACTGAACTTTTTCAAAGAAACTTTTTTAAACCCACAATTGAAAAGCAAGCAAACGTTTTTGAAAACACATTGAGCAAGTATCTAAGAGCCCATGGATAACCATGGATAGAAAGGGTGCTAACACCTTCCCTTTCTATAACCTACCTCCCGAACCGAGAGCAATCTCTTTTAAGGAATTTTTCTGTGCTTTTGTCCTTTCCATTTGGAGAAAATAAAAGACGGTGGCGACTCTTGCTTCCGCGACATTTCGCGAACCAGCTTTAAAACAGTCAGTTCCAGATCCACCGATCACAAAAAGTAGTAATAAAATGTTTTAAAGTAAAAACTAGAATGCAAAGCAAATTCGATTTAAACTTAAAAGGAATGTAAAGGACTTCAATTGAAAAGAAATGACATTGAATATTAAATTGGTGCTTCATACATATATTCTCAGTAACTCGTTTCTCGAACACTTGGTACTTTGAGTTATTTTGAGTAATTTGTATAGATAAGTGACTACAAAGAATTCTAACATAAAAACTCGTATATATAGTAATTTGAAACTAACTACCACGAACAATATTTTTCTTAGAGGATGACACGTCCTTGTTTGCATGTCTCTAGCCTTTCGTAGGCTTTCCACGTATAACTTTTTCAAAGATCATTTATAGCTTCATTTGAATATATGTCAAACCCGCCTCGAGTATCTTCAGAAAATTTGCTAAGTCATTCGCCTTGCATTGCTTCATCCTTGTACACTTAGTCAAAAACGTGTCTTCTATCACTTCATATCGAAATCAACTTTTATCATCTCAACATTTGTCTTTCGAATTCTTCTCGAACCTCTATTCGTTGGAGCGTCGAAATTACAGCTAACAAAACTCTCATGTTGTGCAAAAGCAACGCTCAAGCGACACAACTTTATTTAAGACTCTCATAAATATAACACTACACCTGTGTTCGTTGATTTTCAAAAAAAGATACCGTTTATAACAATGCTTAACACAATTTACTATATGAAACTTATATCCTAATTGTGAATTCAAAGACTTACTTTATATAGGATTCATAAGGACTTATTAATTGAATTCTCAAGTCAGATTTTGAGTACACAATCACAACTATGGTCTCAAAACTCTATTAAGTTTATCATATAACATCAATAATTAATATTTATTCATGAACGATATATATTAATCAACGTACAAATAAAGCGTTCATTATAGAGAAGTCAAGACGATGAAAGCATAATTGAAAAGAAAGAGGTAAAATGAATACATGGTTGTTACTTTTTACATATATCCAATAGAATACATACATTGGAAATGTAACAAAGTGTAACGCGGATATCATTTATAAGACCAATAAATATTTTTGTTTTTCTCCTCCTAGAATTAGCAACAAGACAAATACATATTTTTTTCATAAAATACATGAAACCTTCTTACTGACCGCGTTAGTTTCCTATTGTTCTTGCCCAACTATGAAAAATTTCCCACTTTTTCATGAAAACACACACACAAAAAATTATTAGGATAAATCAAATGAGAAACTTCAAAAATTTCCTTAGCATAATTGAAAAAAATATATAACATGATAACTTTTTATTGTGAGCGTTAACAATTCCTATGAACATAAAACATATAACTTGTTGAAAAACTAATTATTGTGAGCACTAACCATTAATTTTATGTGGCATGGTGGCAGATCCATCAACTCAGATGATCATTTACATTGCCACTTATGTGTTGTATAATTGTTACCAATCCAGTATCTTAATTTTAGTCTTTAAAATTGTATTATATAGCTAGTGAAACACACATCTAAAATAAAATCTGTCGGCGGATCAAATCTACAAAAACATAATGGTCAATTTCCTAAATTCATGCACTCCAACTGTCAACACTCGTCTTCTGTCCCCTCTCCCATCTCATCTCACTAACTACTATAATTAACTTTGTTCATTTCTCATATTCTTCTCTCTCTCTCTCTACAATCAGTGCTGGGATCTCTACTCTTTTTTTTACAAGGTTATTCATTTTAACTCACTCTAGATTTCATATATTTTGATTCTGCTATGATTTTCTTTTACCCTTTTGCTTACAATTCATTTCATTTCTCACATTTGCATTCTAAAGTTTCGATTTTTATGAGCTAACTTTTCTGGGTTTTCTCTTTTGTTCATCATCTTATTAGATCTTTACCTGATCCACCAAAACCACTTAGATTTGGGGTTAATGGAGTTTTGTACTCTGCACTACAATTATAGACCTCTTTTGATTCTATGAAATTATTATTTCTTAACACTTTCTCTGTCTTTGTGTATTATCAGTAGCAAACCCCTCGAATCAGTAGCTTGTGTGTTTTGTATGCATGTTTACCTTTCTTCTATTTATAGAAAAATATAAGATCTACACTTGATAGAGAGTTTATGCATGTAGCATTTTTGTTCTGTTAGCATTAAATACTTTAAGGTTAGATGATTATTGTTCGATAGTTCAATGTTGGTGGTTGGTTTGCTTGATTTGTTGTGATGATGATCTACATCTAATGTAACTTGTTGTGACTGACTAATTTCAATGTGAACTTTCATAGATTTGATTGTTTCAAAGAAGTTTGAGCGAAAACTTCTGAGTTAATGGGTAATAAGAATGCCCCACCGGGCAACAGATCACGGAGGCCTTTATCGATTTTTGCTGTGCTTGCTCTATGTTGTACGTTTTATCTTTTGGGCGCGTGGCAAAGAAGTGGTTCTGGAAAGGGAGATAGCCTTGCGTTGAAGGTAAATAAGATGCATACAGACTGCAACATTGTGCCGAATTTGAGTTTTGAACCGCATCACAAATATGTAGATATTGTTGAATCATCTGGACCGAAAGCTAAAAAGTTCAAAGCGTGTGATGTAAAATATACTGATTATACACCTTGCCAAGAACAAGATCGGGCAATGACATTCCCGAGAGAAAATATGATCTATAGGGAAAGACATTGTCCACCTCAAGAGGAGAAATTGCGTTGCCTTATTCCTGCTCCCGATGGGTATACGTCTCCTTTTCCTTGGCCTAAAAGCCGCGATTATGTCTACTATGCTAATGTACCATATAAGCATTTGACAGTGGAGAAGGCTGTTCAAAACTGGGTGCAATTTCAAGGAAATGTGTTCAAATTTCCAGGTGGAGGAACCATGTTCCCTCAAGGAGCAGATGCTTATATTGATGAACTTGCATCAGTTATTCCAATTGCAGATGGTACTGTCAGAACAGCATTGGACACTGGTTGTGGAGTAAGTTTTCATGTTGAATAATCTTTTTGATATAGCCAAACGGAACCTTAGTATATAGAAGTCAGAATCATTCTCCGTTTCTTTGTTTTTAAATGCTTGGTGGCTCAGTTTACTTGCTTTTAGTAGGTACCTTTCAATTGCTTCTTGTTTATTGCTCTAACAGTATAAGCTGTGAACAATTATGCAGGTTGCAAGCTGGGGAGCATACTTGCTAAAGAGAAATGTGTTAGCTATGTCCTTTGCTCCAAAGGATAACCACGAAGCACAAGTTCAGTTTGCACTAGAACGAGGAGTGCCTGCTATTATTGGTGTTCTTGGTACAATCCGTCTTCCATTCCCATCAAGAGCCTTTGATATGGCTCAGTGTTCTCGATGTCTGATACCATGGGCTTCAAATGGTTAGTGTTATAAATCTAATCTAGAATATGGTATTATTAGCATTTTTTAAACATAGATGACGATAAGCTTGAGGAGGAAGGAGAATTTTTTAAAATTTGAGAGAAACGTTGTTTAGGGAAATTAACTTGTTCATTTTCTACTCAATAATTGAATGCAGATGGCAAGCAGCTAATGGAAGTCGATCGAGTTTTAAGGCCTGGTGGATATTGGATTTTGTCTGGTCCTCCAATTAATTGGAAAACATACTACCAAACATGGAAACGATCGAAGGAGGATCTGAAGGCAGAGCAGAAAAGAATTGAGGATTTAGCCGAAAGTCTTTGCTGGGAAAAGAAATATGAAAAGGGTGATATCGCTATCTGGAGGAAGAAAATAAATGCTAAATCCTGTCAAAGAAAGTTGCCCGATTTATGTGATTTAGAAAATGCTGATGATGTTTGGTAACTCCTGCTCATCTTTACACGCATCGTTCAAATATCTGAACTGTTTCAATCATTTAGAGTTAGAAGGGTTTAAATAATTTTGTTCTTATGGTTCAAAAATTTCGGATTATGATGTGCTTATGAATTTTATCTATGCTCCAAAATTTGCAACGATAGGTACAAAAAAATGGAGGCCTGCAAAACCCCTATCCCTGAGGTAACCAGCAAAACTGAAGTTGCCGGAGGGGAATTGAAGAAGTTTCCTGCTAGGCTTTTCGCAGTTCCTCCTCGAATAGCTAAAGGCCTTGTTCAAGGCGTAAAAACAGAATCTTATCAAGAGGACAACAAATTATGGAAAAAGCGTGTTACTAATTACAAAAGAATTAATAGATTGCTCGGTACCACTAGATATCGAAATTTGATGGACATGAATGCAGGCCTTGGAGGATTTGCAGCTGCACTTGAATCACAAAAATCTTGGGTGATGAATGTTGTGCCCACAATTGCTGACAACACTTTAGGTGTTATTTTTGAAAGAGGTTTGATTGGCATTTATCATGACTGGTAAGTTTCTAAAATTATCTTAATATAAATTTTCTAATTTCGTGACGACTTCCTTACAATTCGGTTTTTCCTATACTCAAAAAAAATGAAGGACCGATGAAATTGCAATGACATTATTTTTCTTTCTTCAGGTGTGAAGGCTTTTCTACATACCCAAGGACATATGATCTTATTCATGCTAATGGTTTATTTAGCTTGTACCAGGACAAGTAAGTTTCTTCCTTTTCCATTCACAATAGAGCCGTCTTAAGTTTTGAACTTGTGTAGGTTAGTCACGATTCAATCATGATAAAATAATCAGAGACTCTATTTAACCACAGTTTAAAGTGACAATTTTTTCATGAGGCTCTATTTAGCTATATTTTAACCGTGACAAATTTTGGGCCATGTGGGATAGCCCGCCTTGCACGCCCTCAAAAACGATTTTGAGCCATGTGAGATAGCCGGCCTTGCACGTCCTCAAAAACAACCCTGGTTATTATAAACTCATAGTGAAAGTTGGTAACTTGGTATTATACTCGAACCAAACATAAAAGTTAATATTTTTACTAATTTTCCAATTTGACTTTGTTATCAGAGTTAGATTCAGCTTAAATTCTATGATGATATCAGAGTCTGTCTATGATTCATTGGACCACCCGTCATTTGTCATTTGTTCACGCTCTAGGTGACCAGATGACCTATCTCGACCTAGTTCAGACACAATTTAACCAAAGTATTGCTGATTTGATTAAACAGGTGCAACCTAGAAGACATCCTTCTAGAGATGGACCGAATCTTAAGGCCCGAAGGGTCGGTCATAATCCGTGACGAAGTAGACGTCATTAACAAGGTTAACAAAATTGTTGGAGGAATGAGATGGGAAGCTAAAATGATGGATCATGAAGATGGCCCACTTGTGCCTGAGAAGATATTGGTGATTGTTAAAGAGTATTGGGTTGGCACAAGTAAAAACAACACATCCAGCTAAAGGACTAATCCAGAACATGTCTTCAAGCTTAGTGCAACATTCAAGCTTTATAAAAAAAAAATCAAAGCAAAGAAGAATTGGAAAAAAGTGAAGATTAATAGAAGCCAAATAGAAGCAAAGATTGGTTATGTGAACTTATTCTACGTCTGCCTTTAATCAAGTGTAGAAGTGTAGATAAAATTAGTTTTGACTGGTCTTTTTTTAATTGATTTTGGAGGATTTAGATCAGCAAGTTTTAGATCCTCACCAAAATAAATTAAAGCAAATATATTGGGAGTGAGTTATTGAATGATGTAAGAATATTAAAATGTTTTAATTATATTCTGTTCGATATTTAAAAATTTGTTTGCTACTTTCGATATGGTTTTGGAGATGATAATAGAATATTTATGAGTAGTTTCTTGGATTTGAAAGTATAATATAAGAGGTGAGAATGATTTGGAAATTTATTTAAAATTCTCTAAAATTCTGAGAGCCTTCCAAACTCGAGCCTTTCCGTCATAGATTTGTTAGTTTTTATGAGTTTATAAATGTATTAATTTTCCAAATTTTAATTGAATTATAAAATAAAGATAACTAATTATTATAATAAAGTGTTATGTTTTTTTTATTTAATAAAACAGCCTATGTTATAAAATAGAAAATAATTATAAAAGTGGGGTTAGACTTGGCCCACGTAAGAAAAAAGAAAAAAAGAAATGAAAATTAAACCAAAGATATAGAAAAATAAAATTAAAATTAAAATTAAAATTAAAACCAAGTTAGTCATCTAACCCAACATTGTGAAGATTTCTTATCAGAGTGTTAAATTATTAAAATCTTAAGTGATAAAGAGAAATAAAATATATTTTAAAATTGTAAGAATCAAAATTGTAAGAATTAAAAAATCGTAAAAACAACTCAATGGTCAATAAAAGGCGTTATAATAGAGGAGATGGCTCGGGGGCGGGAATTGGTCGCCAAAAAAAAAAAAACAGACGACGATAGTAGCTTGAGTGTAACAAGTTTTTGGCATTGTTTTCGAGAATTGAATTATTAACACTTTGATTTTCATTAAAATTTGTTAAAAGTGCATTTGAGATTTTGACGTTTACTGTCTTCTGGTTGGAACTCGCCAACCAACAATCCTTATAACAACTCTTTTGTTTGAGAATTTTGAAGACCACATTAAAGAGACTAAACAAGGACAAGAAAAAGTTGTGCCTGAAACGGGCATCATTGTCATTTCTAATGATAGGGCAAAAACATTAGAGACTATGTTTTGTTGACCCAAATGTCATGAATGTTGGAATTATAAGGCCAAAGATCACAGTGTGGAATCTTGTTTCACAGGTGATATGATTTTAACAAGGACAATAACTTTTGATGATGACAAATGTATTCTGACAAGTCAAGCATAAGCGGTTAAGCGGATAAATATACTCACATAAGTATTAGAATTTGATGGACTTTACTATCCGATGATGGCAACCAAATGAAATATAAGCTCAAGCCTTATCTCAAATAAACTCAAGTAAGTGTCTAATAAATAAAACATCTGACAAAGTCTTGAAGTGCAAGAAAACCATTTTCCTATTCAGTATGAGTGAATACTTTGTAAAGCATAAGGGTGTTCTGCTGTTGCGGTAAAGCAGCAAGCAAAAGTAAGTATTTTTAGTTTTAGTTTATCGTCTACACAGGGATTAGTGCGAGGGAAAGAATATCGTTCGACAGTTTTCGCGTCTCTAAGCTTGGTTTTTAATGGTTTAAAGTATAAGGTGCGGAAAGTAAAATTATGAACAAGAAAATAAATACATTCTTTGGAGAGGAGATAACTCTTTCGAGTTTGAATTTCATCTACCCTATCAAATACTTAAATCTATCAATCAGTTGTATGCAATCTAAATTACTCGTCAATATCATCACATATCCCTCACATCAGTGTTCATGTCTGAAGCACCTACGAGAATTTTACC